ATGGTTCACTTAGGGTGTAAATGTGAGCATGGATCTTTACTTCAACAGGACTTACATCTGTAGATCAACATAAACTTTTGAAAACATTTCTCTGAATTTTGGAAAATTTTTTTAATTTTTCTCTGTTTTTGGAAATGTGAGCGTATTATGAAAACTCACTTGAACTCATGAATCTATGATTGACTCGAAATGAGTTTGAGCCTGGTTTTACGAGAGATTAAGTTTCGAATTTCAAAGCATATTTTTGTATTGTTTTTATTATCTTTTGCTGGGAACGACAAGATCTTGCTAAATCAAAGTGTAAATATGACGGTAGTTTTATAGAAATAAGAGATTAAAAGCAAATATTAGTCATCATAGTGAGCATCAGTTAGTTTAAAGACACTTTCGAGAAAAGCACTCAATATCTTCCTGTTCGGATCGAGTTGTGCACGTAAATCAAGAAAATCTTTCCACTTGGGTATAAGACGTTCAAAATTGTAGATGTCCGGTTGAAAATGTTTTCCCCAATGAGGTATGCCACCGAACGGAGCAAGTATCATTTGCAGCTCGTGCATGGTCGCCATGCCATCATCTCGTACACTACCATCTTCAGCCACATAGACGAGAAAGCCAATATAACAAACGGGACCTTTGTAGGCTGGATTTAGCCATGCCTTTGATTGTCCTGTCGCTCGATAGATGAATGGATAGTGAAGGTATTTCTTGTGCACATCAGCCCATGACTTGATAGCCAATGTGGCTTCACGTGTATGTTCGAATGGTATGGCGATTTCACAGTTAATCTGTGGTATTGGTATACCTTTGCAAAGGATCTGTTCTAAATACCCAATAACGTCTTTGGCATTAACAAAACGTCTGAGTGTTTCAAATTGTAGTTGTGACGATTTTTTTGTGGTCTTCATGTCCAATTCCATCGATTTCATATACTCATCAATCGTGTCGTTTATCAAATTATGTACGTATTTAGATTCCAACAAATTGTCACCTGGTGTAGCCAAGAATTGCTGGCGTTGTTCCTCGTTCGCTGCATCTACAAGCCATACGTGACAGAATCCTGTGTTTGGAAACCACCAGACCTAATAAAGAGAAACGTTATTTATTAGTGAAACCCTTCTCTTAAAAGTTTTAGAATGTTTGATAAACAATTTTCTATTATGAACCACTCGAAATATTCACTCACCTTGACATATTCGCTTTCTTCATTCCACTTAAAATAGTCCGAAAGTAGAGTATCGACTTTGCAAGTAAACTTGCGACAGGAGAAGATCTGTCGAGGAACATGAGCTACTTCGATGTAGACTATAATACCAAGAGTACCCATTGCTGTGACGAATGCTTGAAGAGGATAGTCAACAGTATGTTCGTCAATAGTTACTACTTTTCCACTAGGTAAGACGACCTGAAGCGATCTGACAATGTCCGAATAGCTGGACTGATGCATACCTTGTCCGTGAGTGCCTGTGGCAATCGCACCGGCAAGTGTTTGAATACCAATGACGCCAGGAGAACAAGGCAACATTCGATGGTGACTGGCGAGGATTGCAATGACGTCGTTTACCGTTGTTGCGGCACCAAATACGGCTGTTTCCTTTTTCATTTCTATGAGACCATGAAAATGT